CCCCGAGGGCTGCCGGGCTGCCAGAGGGATGTCTGATTGCCAGCTTAGGCCCAATCCCCCGGGGAGCAGGCCTAAGCCAGCAGGTGGTCATCCCCTGAGGGGTCCCAGACTACAAGAGGGCACAGGCTGGGCTGAGGGCACCCCCCAAGTGCACAAATTTTTGTGCACCGGGCCTCTAGTAGGATATAACCAGCTCTGTATTCAATTTAGAAAATTTTCTTTGCATTATCATCTCTACCTTTATTATTTCATAGAAATTGAAAATTTTAGTCAGTAAAAAACAAGAATTAGGTGAATTGGTGTTTGAGAGGGTTATTTATAATTACTCATACTAAATAATGTAAAATTCCCCAGTGATGAATTTACCTAACCTGGAATAAGAATGATGAATGAAATTAGAGCACAGTTCAGATTATGATTATAGACTAGGTGAGCAAACCCTGGGAACCCCCTTTCAACCCCAAAGCTTTGCCTTGCTAACTAAAGGAACAAATGTGAAGATTTTGATGCATCAAATGACTAAGCAGAGATATGCCAAAGTCAAGAAGAGCCAATGAAAAAGTAAGGATAAGGAGTGGTCAGTTTATAAGTTGCAAGGTGTCAGCTAAGGGGTCTGGAGTTCATTTGCAAAAATGCAGATGGTACTGGCATAATGAATTAGCCCACAAATAGTTCTGACTAGTAAAGGCTTGGAGACAGAAAACAGTCTTCCTGAATTTCCCTTTGTTGCATATAACCTACAGTTAGAGTATTTGCATTTGCTGTTAACTTAAATGCATCAGTCTTTTTGCACTAACCTTGCACTATTTTTACAAAACTGCATACATTTTTTTCTGGTCTACTGAGGAGCATAGATGAATGGAAAACATTGAGAGTTAAGATAGGAAAACATTGATATTCTAAACAAATTAGTAAGAGCACAAGAAATCCATTCCTGCGAGCAGTAACTGATCATGGACAAACTCCACAACCATAGGATGAGTCAACTCTACAGACTCATAAGTCTCTTCTAGTTCTAAAATTCAATGAGTTCAAGTGGCTTAATATAATAGGGATGATTACTAGCTCAATTAAAACAAAATGTCCCATAATAGAATGAGATTATAAAACATCAAACCACAATTAAGAGCAATGCTACAATTTTCTGGAATAAAATCAACAGTGAAGGAAGTTAAGTTCAGAAGGATAAGGCCAGCTGACAAAGGCTAAAAGCAGAGCCCCCTATATGTTTTCTTAATAAAACATTTGTATGCTTCCAATTGAGTGTGTCACTCATACCAGTATAATGAAGCATATATATTGTTTGAACCACTTGGAACAGCTATTTTCAACCTTTTCATCTCATACACCCATAGGCTAATTACTAAAATTCCGTGGCACAGCAAAAATGTATTTTTTACCAATCTGACACAAAAAGGTCTACTTTTGATTCATTCATACCAGATGGCTATTGTTGTGTTGGCTATTGTCATTTTTTTTTTAAATTTGACAATCTATTTAGCCACTGCCCCTGACTAAAATAGTCAGGTATTGCATGTTTTAAAAATTCTTGTGATTAAAAACAAAACAAAACAAACAACAAACAAAAATTCTAGTGACATGCTGGTTGAAAATTGCTGACAGAGTCAAAATAGAAAAAATATAAATCCCTCAAGGAATGAAAAACAACAACAACATCCCTGACCGGTTTGGCTCAGTGGATAGAGCGTCGGCCCGCGGACTGAAAGGTCCCAGGTTCAACTCCGGTCAAGGGCATGTACCTTGGTTGCAGGCAACATCCCCAATGGGGGGTGTGCAGGAGGCAGCTGATCGATGTTTCTCTGTCATCAATGTTTCTAACTCTCTATCCCTCTCCCTTCCTCTCTATAAAAAAACCAATAAAATATATTTAAAAAACAACAACAACAACAACAGCTGTATAAAGCTTTTCCATTCAAAAGAAGTTCTGGTGTTCAACAAAAAAGTGAAC